TGTTGCGCTGTGTAGTCTGGTCGATGTTAACCAACGTTTCGGAGGTCATACTGCCTCCATCATCAGGGCGATGAGTATGAAGATTTCTGTCTTCTGGGTTGTTGCGCCGTGTAGTGTGGTAGATTGCCAACGTTTCAGATGTCATGCTGCCTCCGTCATCAGGGCGATTATCCGGACAACCCAGAAGACAGAAATCTTCATACTCACCGCTGTGAAAACCTCAAATCATATATTGCACCTACTTCTGCAGGCTGAATTAAAAAAATTGGGTTTGTGGATGGAGAGGGCCGCCGAGAGAGGAGAGAACGTCACATTGCGTAAGAGAGGCGATCTTTTCCTCTCCTGCAACGAGGCAGACCCAGCCCGAATACGTCGCAACCTGTTGCATCCGCCCCCCGCGACCTGGCGGAAGCAGGAGCAAGCGAGCGTTCTAGTCGTCGGGACTGACGGAACACTCCGGGTGGGGTCGAGTGACGACTACGCAAATGTGGGGAACATTCCTAGACCGTAAACATGTCAGCAGCCGATAAACCGTGTTGCGCCGTATTACGCGACAGGGTGCTTCATTATATGTACATATTCATACAAGACTTTTGATGGTACTGTAATACCAGGAAGATTTCCTGGAAACCCTAGACTAGACTATTCATCACTAACGGCTCTACTTTTAACGCCATATACACGTGTACTTTGCAATATTAGATCATATTTGTTTTACGGAGATAATTGATTATAGGCTGTGTTTGACTTGTGCAGTTGTGTTTGCAATGTACGTAAACATGTTCTTCGACTATCACGTCATTTTTAATGGAGTTCCAAGAGGCATTGCTTCACAATAACATGACAATCATCCTTGTTGTGATGTTTAAATATCAGTGAATATATCCAACTGTTGAACGATATTTATTTTAATATGTAACTTTAAGAAAACACGATATGCATTTCAGCGAACTGAATACGTTGTGATGAAGTGTTAGAATTTCAACGACGACTTGGCCTAATAATCCGAAAGTAGAAGGAACTTCTTTCTGTATATAAAGCAACGTCGATCGCAACAATCAATATTCCTTGGCTACAGTTTAAGGCGAAGGAACGTGAACATAGTCCAGTCTTGCGTGAAAATGGTGGGGTCATTCTGTTAAGACGCCTGAGGCCTTGTGAATAAACATGAGTGGTGGCGGATTGGGGCCTGCTGGGTGCTGGATAACCCACAAAGGGCTGGAGACTTGGGCACGGATGGCCAAGGAACGAAATACTCACAAAACACAGGTGGGTGCAATTCGCAGTCTACCATTTTGAGACTGACAGTCCGTCCCTCATATAAAGCCGATGAATTCATAGGTGTAATTAAAAATTACGAGTATTTTGCATGAAATGCCAAAATTGAACATGATGTAACTTCTGTTTGATATCACAAATTATTTAACTGATTTTATATTAAATTTGGCATGGTGGGGGTCTGTATCTGTCCAATGACCCCCCCCCTCCCCCAGAAGATGAGTCTGAATCATAACTGTTAATACGAAATTTGTGAACAAAAGAAACCTTTCTCGCCATATAAATTACAGGCTTCGGTAATGTCTCTTTAATATCATTTTTGGATATTTATTTAACGAAATACAAAAAGTAAAATAATTTATCTGAAAATATTCTAACTTTTATCAAGAGTTTATGACCTATGCCGGATGCATTCTTGGTTTTTAGTTAATTTAACGGCGCCTTTCAACGTTATATTCATACGTTCTACAGAATCGAAGAAAAGGATTATTGAATAATGAGTTTGAAATCATGTGGAAAGAAGTTGTCGTGACCTATTTTAATGTGCTGTTACCGCCCTTAACTGTAGAGACTGAGGTAAATCACATCAAACTGTCAGGATACGTAGCCTCATGGCCGAGTATCATACCTCTCTGCGACGTATGTAGCATTCGATAATATCTTGCAGTAAACGAGTATCGAGAACAATGAAAGACTGAAACTCGCACTGTGGCCACCTACAGCACATTTTTTTACCATCTGTATTCATGATCACAGGTTGGACGAACACAACTTAAGCAAATTCCGGGGCAGTAAATCTCATGAAACATCACATTTCATAAAAGGAATCAATAAGACAACTTTGATATGGTTGTCTTAATAGCTGGGGGAAGGTAGTAATAAATCAGCCTTACAGTTCCAAATAATTTAAGGCAATTGAAATCTGAGGTCCTCACAACGTTGACGGTGACGTTGTGACGCCTTATGGCGTCTTAGCTAGAAGTGTCGGAGTCCACTTGGTGTTACTACGCGGAATACCAACGTCGTATGTAGGTTACGGCTGATTCAGCCACTCTACAGTGTGTACGGGCGGTGGGGGTGTTTAAACATACTACTCGCCCCTATCTAGTGCTGAGATTAAGAATATCTAGATCTGTACCTCCACTCCCCCATACATCTTCATGGCGTGGGACCTAATTAACTCTATAAAGCACAGTGGTATCACTACTGCTACTAGTTAAATATTTAACAAATCGGAAAAGAATTTTAAATAGATGTTTAAGACCTTAATGAGACCATTTAATGTCATTTTTCAGGTTTTTTTTACAATGAACTTTTCTTTATTCAGAAAAATAAAGATAGATTTGAACTTCACGTAAAGTATGGTTCATATTGTAGTACGGATACGAATCAAAATTTAAATACATCCTTTGCATTTGATATAGACTGCCAATAACATTTAATCTAAATCCGTTCTCATAATCTCTAAGATGCAACATACGGACGTTTATATAGGATGGGTGGGAAGTAAGTAGGCATATAACCTCTATATTTCCAATGCAAAGCGATTATTTAATGCCTACTTACTTCCCACCCACCCTGTAGATGGTATTCTTCATGCTGAGAACACAGCAAGGTAACGATAATTCGACAAGGACCCTATCGAGATGCAACCTTGGCTTTGGCGAGTTATCGCTTCGTAGAATTTACAACAATCGCACATCCAGTCTACTGAAACATCGAATTATAATTTCCTGTCGGATATACAGTCTCGGTATACCATAAGAGACTTATAAATTTGGTTTAATTTTGTGAAATATGCGTGTACTTGGGGTCAGGGATAAGGACGGTGTTCTAAATGTCAAAGGGTACAACGGATCGGCCTGCTGTGTACATCTCGCTGTCTCTTCCATATCGACCGCGTGACGTCATTAAAATGCCACTCGTGGTCTGGCAGTGGAAACAATAAGGGCGTTCGATAGACGAAGGGGGTAACGTAACTGCCGGTATCGTAAAAGAAACATTTAATCACAAAATCTATTAGACGCTAGGAAGGGAAATGAATTCATAAAAAATAATAGTTTGTCTTGTCACACGAATACATGTACAAAAAACATTGTATAAGAATACCTAATAAAGCCTTCGAAATTTATGGCTCAGTTCAGATGACAGTAACAAATTTATATTACAGTGATGACAGGTTAAGAACTAATTATATTTGGCGAATGTCTGCCAAACTTATACCTTCCAGTGTCCAGTATGAGAACATTAACGATCAAAACAAGAAAACTTTTAAGATGACTGTATTTTGGGATTTTGCGCCGTGAAGTATGGTGTCTGGTCGATGTTAAAGAACGTTTCAGAGGTCATACTGCCTCAGGGTGATGTTCTTGATGATGAATGTAGTATGAATATTTCTGTCTTCTGGGTTGTTGCGCTGTGTAGTCTGGTCGATGTTAGCCAACGTTTCAGAGGTCATACTGCCTCCATATCACTCTTTTAATTAGTGGCGTCAGTTGAAATCGAACTTGGGATTTTCTCAACACTATTTCAGCACGCTGACTCTCTATAACTGGGGAACTAACGTTTTGTAAAATCAAAAGATGCATTATATATAACCATTACTCTTTTACAACCTAAAAATCTGCATGGAGCGCCTACTAGATTGCTATTAGGCTACACACGATGCACAGCCGGCAGAGAAGTTGCCGCGTGATTGAGCCGATATATTCCTAACATTTTTATCTTGTTCGCTTTCATACACGATACACAGATGCAGGCTTTCCGTATCTCTATATGCGTCCAAAGAAACTTTTGGACCAGTTGACAGATTTTCATTAAAATATATGTGAAAAGCATGCCGCTGGAAACAATACCACCCATTTGTACGTTTTCATTTCGTGTCGACAAAGTGACGGCAAGCGAGCTTCTGTACGTGGGAGCATCATTAACGTTAGCAAATCTTGGAATTGTATGTGGGTGTTGATCTTCGAAAATTAATAAACATTTGTAAACGTATTCTTTATTCTTTTGAAAAATGTAAAAAAGTAACATGGCGGACGCGCGAATCTAAACTTTGCTATCGGTTTGACTGTAGTAATTGATGATGAATCATAAACATGCCTACAAGCCCCCATTGAAACAGTTTTTAGATATTAAACATTATGAACATAATGGCGGTGAGAAACTTTGAAGTTTTATACCTATATGACAAATTAAACTCTGCTGCAAGTTATTTGTTGTGATGCCAAAATTTCTTTTACTTCATACAGCAATCACTAGATACTGTTGCTAATGAAGAAGGTGTATTCTGGCCAACGCACAAACATTGCTGCTGGTGACGAAACGCTATCACCATGGTTAAGACCCAAAAGTTCAAAACAAAAAAATAATTTATCGGATTATTCCCAGTTATCAGGTTTATTGATTAAAAATTTTCAACAAAAATTGTTATGTAATTTAGCCATGAACTCAGTGGTGAAATTCTTGTTTGCCTTTTTCAGGTAATATGAAATATCGACTTAAAGCAGCAACTTTACTTCCTTTGCAGTATTTAGTTATATACATACACCCTTTTCCTAGGCTTTGGTGAATTTAAGGTGGTGGAATTTGATGAGTAAGCTAGTTATCAGAGGAGCGGGTATGTGAAGGGAGGAAAATGTGCATCATATTTGGGCGTGTACTGTAAGCTGAAAAGGGTTGCCATTTCCTTAATAACACATGCCGTTTTCCCTTTCCTGAAGGAATTCAATGTGGCCAAGGAGCAACATGCTGTGCAGCCAGTACCGACCGTAGCTCCACATTCTGTGAACCCTGAACTGATGAGGTCACCACTGGACTCCTCCCCCATTCTGACTCATCAGTCCAAGTCTTATCCAGGAGGACAGCCCCGACTGGCCAGAACGCCATCGGTGTCCTCTCAGAGCAGCCTCGACAGCAGCGTTTCCAGACAGGTACGTAACATTATGGTAGCTTAACAGGTATGTAGCATGCATGGAAACAAATTATATAAGATGTCAGAAATCCACATTTGAAGAGGGTTCTAGACATGTCAAAGCATAGGTAAAAGGCCAATATTAAAGTATAACTTATAAAAATGGTATGTGAGAATGTGGATAGGATTTAAGTGGCTTAGGATGTGGTCACATGGTGGGCTGTAATTTGGTATGGGGGTTCTTTTCTTAAGTTGTCAGATAAATTTAACTTTGTTCAGGGTTATCGATACCCCTGACTTTAAATTTACCTCAGATTGATCTTTGATTCTTTAAAAAACACAGCTTGTAATAAAAATATGTAAATGACACAATATTATTATTATTCTTTTAAACACTTTCTGACTTGAAAAATATTTGGAAGAATACAAGGAAAATATATTTGGACTCAGTACAGTGCTTCTATTATGTAATTAGGTTTAGAAAATACCTTTATTTCTTCAGCAGGGTCATCGAGGCTCTTCTCCACAAATAAGGACATTTGCACCAGATGGCCGAACCACCAGTTCATCAGCATTACATCACCTCCATGCAGCACAATCTACAGACCCCGGTTCTGCATCCACTAATAATCAAAGTCGCTCTCCATCTCCTGGATCATGTCATAGAGCTGCATCCCTGGACATGAGGTGTTCATCCCCTGGTGGAGCCTCTTCTGCTTTCTGTGGCTCTACAGGGGATCTTCGAACCCCATCCCCATCGCAGTCATCCCTCGCATCACTCACTGACCGCGGGTCAGCCTCTTCAGTGTGTAATTCACCAGTACCACCGCAATCACCAAGAGGTGCAGCCATTTCCAGATGTTTGTCTCCCTTGCTGATTCCTCCAGTCCCTTCTAGGTCGCTTGTATCTGATCCTCCAGCACCACCTGCATCACCACTAGGAGCCCTGCAACCAGACTTATACCAACGTCAGGATGGTCCGCTGTTTCTAGGAAGCCGAAGATCAGGACCAAGTTTAGGGAGACTTCACCTCAGGCTTAAATATGACTTTGATAGATCTGACCTTCACGTTCATCTCATTGAAGGTAAGATATGAAGATTAGTATCTGTAATTACTAATGTCCATCACACTTTATAGTAGAAATGTAAATGGTGTTGGTAGCTGCTTTTCAGTTGCTAGGCAACCATGCCAACTTTAATACATTAAGCAAACACACTGCAAAATCTGTGTGTTTGGCATATATCTGTGAGGTGATAAAATCACTAATAGAAGCTAGTGAGTCTAATAAAAATGTGCTTAAATGAAATCTGTAGCAAAATTTGTATAGGTAAATATTTATGTGAGTCATTTTCCATCAAGAACAGTCTGAAACAAGGAGATGCTTTGTCTCCATTGCTCTTTAACTTTGCGCTAGAATATGCCATCAGGAAAGTCCAAGACAAGCAGGAGGATTTGCAATTGAATGGGACACATTAGCTATTGGCTTATGCTGATGATGTTAATTTATTGGATGACGATGTAAATCCAATAAAGAGGTACTCTGAAGTATTACTAGAAGCTAGTAGAAAGGCATATTAGGGTGGCTAATAAAGTTCAAATATTTGGGAACGACAATAACAAATCAAAATGATACTCATGAGGAAGTTAGGAGGAGACTAAATTGTGGAAATGCTTTATACTTCTCAGTTCAAAATATTTTGTCTGATTTCTAAGAACCTGAAAATTAAAGTATACAAAACACTAATGTTGCCTGTTGTTTTGTATGAGTGTGAAACATGGTCTCTCACTCTGAGGGAGGAACATAGACTGCAGGTGTTTGAGAATAGGGTGTTGAGGAGGATATTTGGGTTTAGGAAAGAAGACGATGGGGTCTGGAGAAAACTACGTATTGATGAACTTATAAAAATCTGTACTCCTCCCCCAGTATTGTCAGGGTGATTAAGTCGAGAAGAATGAGATGGGCTAGGCATGTAGCGTGCATGGATGGGACAAGAGGTGTTGGACTCAGTACAGTGCTTCTATTATGTAATTAGGTTTAGAAAATACCTTTATTTCTTCAGCAGGGTCATCGAGGCTCTTCTCCACAAATAAGGACATTTGCACCAGATGGCCGAACCACCAGTTCATCAGCATTACATCACCTCCATGCAGCACAATCTACAGACCCCGGTTCTGCATCCACTAATAATCAAAGTCGCTCTCCATCTCCTGGATCATGTCATAGAGCTGCATCCCTGGACATGAGGTGTTCATCCCCTGGTGGAGCCTCTTCTGCTTTCTGTGGCTCTACAGGGGATCTTCGAACCCCATCCCCATCGCAGTCATCCCTCGCATCACTCACTGACCGCGGGTCAGCCTCTTCAGTGTGTAATTCACCAGTACCACCGCAATCACCAAGAGGTGCAGCCATTTCCAGATGTTTGTCTCCCTTGCTGATTCCTCCAGTCCCTTCTAGGTCGCTTGTATCTGATCCTCCAGCACCACCTGCATCACCACTAGGAGCCCTGCAACCAGACTTATACCAACGTCAGGATGGTCCGCTGTTTCTAGGAAGCCGAAGATCAGGACCAAGTTTAGGGAGACTTCACCTCAGGCTTAAATATGACTTTGATAGATCTGACCTTCACGTTCATCTCATTGAAGGTAAGATATGAAGATTAGTATCTGTAATTACTAATGTCCATCACACTTTATAGTAGAAATGTAAATGGTGTTGGTAGCTGCTTTTCAGTTGCTAGGCAACCATGCCAACTTTAATACATTAAGCAAACACACTGCAAAATCTGTGTGTTTGGCATATATCTGTGAGGTGATAAAATCACTAATAGAAGCTAGTGAGTCTAATAAAAATGTGCTTAAATGAAATCTGTAGCAAAATTTGTATAGGTAAATATTTATGTGAGTCATTTTCCATCAAGAACAGTCTGAAACAAGGAGATGCTTTGTCTCCATTGCTCTTTAACTTTGCGCTAGAATATGCCATCAGGAAAGTCCAAGACAAGCAGGAGGATTTGCAATTGAATGGGACACATTAGCTATTGGCTTATGCTGATGATGTTAATTTATTGGATGACGATGTAAATCCAATAAAGAGGTACTCTGAAGTATTACTAGAAGCTAGTAGAAAGGCATATTAGGGTGGCTAATAAAGTTCAAATATTTGGGAACGACAATAACAAATCAAAATGATACTCATGAGGAAGTTAGGAGGAGACTAAATTGTGGAAATGCTTTATACTTCTCAGTTCAAAATATTTTGTCTGATTTCTAAGAACCTGAAAATTAAAGTATACAAAACACTAATGTTGCCTGTTGTTTTGTATGAGTGTGAAACATGGTCTCTCACTCTGAGGGAGGAACATAGACTGCAGGTGTTTGAGAATAGGGTGTTGAGGAGGATATTTGGGTTTAGGAAAGAAGACGATGGGGTCTGGAGAAAACTACGTATTGATGAACTTATAAAAATCTGTACTCCTCCCCCAGTATTGTCAGGGTGATTAAGTCGAGAAGAATGAGATGGGCTAGGCATGTAGCGTGCATGGATGGGACAAGAGGTGTACACCGGGTATTGGTTGGGAAGCCTGAGGGGAAGAGACCGCTGGGGTTACCTAGACATAGATGGGAAGATAATCTCAGGTGGGATCTATGGGCAATAGGAGTTGAAGGAGACTGGATTTCTTTGGCGCAGGACAGGGTCTGGTGGAGGGCAATAGTGAATTCGGTGATGAACCTTCGGGTTCTGTAAGCCATCTAGATAGTTAGATGGTTAGAAGCTACACTTTGCCTCGAAGGAAAATATACATAGTGTGTTCACACTTTTATGACTTGTCTTTGTCAACAAGAAATCTTTTTGGATGACACATCAAGCAGAATTGGTCACAAGTATCTCAAAATTGTGATCACAAGAAACTAATCTGTTAAATCTAAATTTGGAGGTAGAGGAAGAGAACAAAAATGTTTATTTTGAATAATTTTTTTCATTTATATAATGGAAGTGAAACTGGGAAAATTAAGTTTAATCCCAGCTACTCTACTTCTTCACTATTCAGTAATTAAGCCCAGTAAAATCTTTAAATAAACCCATTCCATAGTTACAAATGTGTTTTTATCCACAGCACATGACCTTGCAGGAAGTGACCAGGGTGGATTCAATGACCCTTATGTGCGTTTGAGTCTTGTTCCTGCAGTAGACAATCGCAAAAGGCAGACAACAATTCACCGGAATGATCCAAACCCATTTTTTGATCAGCATTTTAAGTTTCCAGTATCTCACGAAGACTTGCAGGAAAAAACATTGGTGCTACAGGTAAGGAGAAATGGATTATTAGAGCCCATTTCCCTTTCTAATTTGTTTAGGTTAATAACATCAGTTAGATTTATAAACTTTAACCGATACAAATTTAAATCCAGTTAACCTTTATTTGTTGATGAAAAATGATCTGAAACAGCTCAGGAAATGAAATGACTGGTTGTGGGCCGGAAGACCAAATTTGATTCCTGGTAGGGCAGGATTTCTCCCTTTGCCATCACATCCAAACCAGGTCAGGGGGCCCATTCAGCCTTTTGTGCAGTGGGACGAGGGATTTTGCTTGCTTTTAAATTTGTATATTAATAATTAAATAAAATTAATCAAATAATTTATAATAAAGTAACATGATAATGAAAGGGGGACAGAACTAGATAACCACTTTCCTTCATCTAGAGCTGACATCTTAGAACTTGTGAAGCTTTGTTTCCACATCCCCTTTATGCTGTCTTGATGTGGTGCTGAGGCAAAGTGGCCACATTCCTTTTACCTATAATGACAAGCTTCAGATTTGTATTCATTGAATAATTTTGTTAATTTATTTATTTATAGTTTATGTCAGGACACTTTCAGTATCTGAGACTGTATAGTGTCAAGTAAGAGGATAATTGTGAATAATGAAATGGACGTGGAAGGAAGTGGTCATGGCCTAATTCTCAGTAGTATCCTGTCATTTGCCTGGAGGGACCAAGGAAAACCATGAAGGACCTCAGTCAGGTGAACCTGGGACCTCCTGACTATGAAGCAAGAGTGCTAACCACTTGACCATGATATTCAGTTCCTGATTTTGTAGGGGATTAAACAAAGGAGGATGGAGGAAACAGGCCACTTGGCAGACTTATGGATAGATAGTATGATAAAGGCAAAGTTGATTTTTGTGAATTAGGTTATGGAGATGTGAACATGAATTAGAAGGTTCAGAGTAGGATTTAATGGCAGCTTCTAATGATTGTGACTGACTTTCTAGCCCCATAAAAATAGTGTATTAGTTACTGGTTTGTTAATTTTTAAGTTTAATGAGTTGAAAAATGTTTATTTTATCTACAGATCGTCAAAACTAACGATTTTTTTAAAGATTTGTGACAATGTTTGATGCATTATACTGTAATTCTATTGGATACTGTCATTTATCTGAAGCATAATATACACACATATTTGGTAATTAAGAACCATCTTAGGTGACTAATTATTTAGTGTACTAAATTATTTTTATTATCTTTATTATTTTCAAGGTAAGCTGTAAGCCTTTGAATAGTAAACTTGTATCTGATATGTCTTTTCTGGTTTCAGGTGTTCGATTATGACCGTTTCTCACGCAATGATGTTGTGGGTGAAGTGTGTATGAGCATGGATGAATTTGATGTTGCATCAAATGTGGAAGTGTGGGGTGAGATAACCAAAAACAAGAAGGTATTACTTTTGGTGTTAATATGATTACATTTGGTACTGTAGAATCATAATCAGAGAGAGAAGGTATTTGTGCATTCATTTAAATGTACTGTGTTTCAGAATGTTTGTAGGTCTATGAGTTAATTATGTATAGCAGCGAGTTTTAACATTAACACATAGCAACAAGTTTTTTCACATTGTGGTAAAGCAATTAAATCACCTTAACTTCACTTCATTTACTTTAGCCTCCAGAAGAGATGCAGGAAGTGCTCCTCTCACTGAGCTACCTGCCTTCTGCTGAAAGGCTTACAGTTGTGTTGCTCAAGGCACGGAACCTATTCTTACCAAAGGATAAAGACAATATAGGTGAGTAGATACAATAAATATGAGACAGTAGAAAAATGTAGGCAGTTACATGATGAGGCGTCAAAATTTGTATGCCTCACCTAATATTGATAGGCTTATGAAATCTTAAAAATACGTTGCAATATGTTTAGTGCACATTCTTAAAAACATTATTTTGTTAAGAAGCTATAAGAGTGAGAAATGCTTGAGACATGAGAACATGACAGTTTTGTGAAAACTATAACTGCATATATTTTAAATGCTGGTGTTCATTTTTACACTGAATGGCTATTAATATATAGAATTTATATGCATTTCTCTTAGATCCATTTGTCAAGGTGTACTTACTGAGTGGAGGGAAGAGGGTGAAGAAAAAGAAAACAGCTGCACGGAAAGGCACCTGCAACCCAGTCTGGAATGAAGCCCTTACTTTTAATGTGGCTTCTTCAAGTCTATCTAATGCTGCTGTTGAGGTAAGAGCTCTGCTCTTTGAAGTTCAATGACAAAAGTATATTTAGGGAAGTCAAATGCTGACATGTGTCATGGTTTAGTTTATTAAAATATCTTTATTTCTTCCATTGAATGTGTGTATACATCTTTATGAGATACACTGTATATATATTAATCTTTGGTTGTTTCCTATATGTGATATGTGACATTCATCTTGGAGATAGTAGCTGCAATATTTGCTGAAACATTAGATTTATTTCAACATATGTGGCTCAGACCTGAAAATTGATCTTATGCATTAGACTCTGAGTATAGAAACTAAAGGATGAAAATTTATGATGCTGATTCAACTGCATAAGTTACATGGCATCAAATGAGATGTAAAGGCGATCATGTATGGTGAACAGGTAAAGATTTAGAAGATGAGGGGTTGTGCCCTTTTTAAAGTTCCTACCCTGCAGTTACATGGTGAGACTGAGGAAAACCATGAAAAACATCCATCAAGATGGAAGATTTAAATCTATATGGTGACTGAATGCAGTCAGGTCTTCATTATCAGGAGGCAGAGACAATCTCAGAAGTGCTGGATTACAATGCCATTTTCACACAGTTGGTCACCTGAGAAGACTTCATCCACCAGGATAACCAGTATACCAGAGCTAGATTCTAGTTGGGTACCTCCAACAAACAACAGTAAAAAGCATTGCTAGTGCAATCTACCCATTGGTTAGAAAATATTACATATTTTCAGAATGGGTTGTCAGGATGTGAGCTGGGTTGAGCTGGCTAAGGAAACGATCAACTGGCAGATTTTTAGAACATGGTAGTGAGTTCCATCAAAGCAGGCAATTGCATAAGCATCTGACTATGCATAACTATCAACTGTTGAAAGTAGATCCTGCACCATGTGGTTAGGTTAACTGCAAGGTGGATAACCACTTGATTTCATTCACTGACAGATGTAGACAAAGCAACATTGAGTTGGGTCAACCATGTCATGGGTGACCTTGTGACTGCTAACTCACCTATCTCTCACATTTTTGGCTCTTGCGGGTTGAGCTGTATTAGATCGGCTTTCATGGTTCTCTAATCACATGTCCCCAAAACATAATTTTGTTCCATATTGATCGGTTTGATTGCCTGAGAAGATTTAATTGCATTTTATTGTTATACATATTTTACATGTTTGGTCAGCTATTTAATCATATGAAAATACCCTGAGCATTGTATCCTTGCAGGTATGTTTGATAGACCAAGGAAATGATCTGATTGGCAACAACCCACTTCTAGGCTCTTTTGTCATTGGACCAGAAGAAGAGGGACCTGAACGAGACCACTGGTGTGACATGACACAGAGTCCTCGTAAAGCAGTTGCCATGTGGCACACACTTCGATAAAGAGAACCACTACAGAGTTGGCTGTCACAATATTTATAGGTAACACCCCATTTATGCTTGAGAGGAGAAATATTCTGAAATGGATGAGGTTCATAGGTAACACTGTATACTCCATGCATCTGGTAGGTACAAGCCTGTTATTTGTTGTTTCTGGATGTGCACATTGTGGCAACAATGTTACAGCATGTTAAACCAAAGATGTTTAATATAAGAAAAGCGAAGATACTGATATCAGAAAGTATTTTAAATTTATATAATGGTGATATTAACCATTATAAATCTGTATCATATTGATCACTTAGCAGTTCAGATGAGTAAGGCCACATCTTCACCCAGTTAACACATTTACATTAAAAGACTAATGAATGATATACTCACATAAAAATGTGTTTCCAGTTGTATATGCCCATGTTAACCTTTAAAGGCCCAGCATATCTTTTATGTGGTATCCCTAGTTGGCCCACTATAGACTTCAGGATATTGCATCATATAACATGGCTTTGTGATTGTTGTACTTCATTCTGATTGATGAAAACCATGTCAGTGTACTCGAGGAGGACAGTCCATATAACCTTCATAATTTTCTTGTCCAAAGGGTCTCTTTTCTTTCTTTTATAAATATTTTTGCACTGCCTCCCTTAACAACTAACAGCTAAGAAATGTAAGTGGGAATTACCTTCTGATTTTCAGCTGTACTCTGTAACTTTCAAATAAACATTGAGCACCAGGCTGTAAACGCAGCAAAGTTAAAAATCTTGATGTGAAAGGGCACAATTAAAATGCTGATTACACACTGATAAATGATCCAGAATCATTTCTGTATTAATTTTTTATTTGTGTAGATTTAATTATAACATTATTTTTACAGAGTAGTTCCATATGTGTGTGCTTCATTTAGGGATTCAATTATGCAGTTACACACTTTAGTTAGTAATTTTCTTGTATAATTTTGGGTCTCACAGAAGCAGAAAATTCTAGAAGAGTTTATATAGTTTACTAGTACACTAATATGTGCCTGCTTTGATTTAGTGGTTCAATTCACCCTTCCTTTATTATTGGTGTTTGCTGGTCAGATGTGCACTGTGTATTTGCATTAATTTTTTTATTTATGTAATAAAATGTATTACCAGTAAATAAATACAAAAAGGGTGTTAGATACATCCTCTTTATTAGATGAATTCCGTGGGCAAAACAGCCAGCTAAACAATTGTTGTGCTTTTCCAATTCAAGAATTTCGTACCCCATTAAAATGTATGCTGAAAATCAAAATTTATATTCCAGTTCTCAAAGTGTGTACTATGACCTGTCAGGATTATGTAGCAAGGAATGATGTCATTTGGAGATGAAAGTAAATACTTTAATAACTGATCTGATATGATGATATGGTGGGAAAAGATGTTTGGCTGTTGTCACTGTCAGTGAATGTGTTAATCTCTATTTGGTCCAGTAGGTGTATGAATTAAAAACTGCCCCAGTGTCAGTAATTTTACAATGAGACAATGAATAAATATTTAAACACAAAAAGATGAGTATATTACTAGTATCACATTTGCTCAATTTCCAGGATGGACAAATCTAGCTATAACTAATTCATACTTGCACTCTTCTCTCTGCTGACAAATTTTTCATGCAGTTTGAAGGACAACTTGTGCTTAACCCTTTCAGTGCTACTCATAATATATCTTATTTTCGACACACGTCTCTTTATGATAAAACAGTGAAAAAACTCTGCACTGGTCTGTTTTCATGTGGATCTAGAGAAGTGTGGAAAAACCTACTACAATAGAGTATGGTACAAATATTTTCTGAAGTGTTACAAATCTCATATCACACTTGTCCTTGTATTAATTTATTATAGATAGAAATCTATTATTGAAAAATCATCCACACTGGATATCACAGTGTACACAGTAATACAATTATGCTTTTTCTTGTCTTTCAATAAATATTCACATATCAAATGTTTCAAATAAAACTTGATCTTGATGAGATCTGTATTTTATATCATGTATTAATTATTTTTATACAATGAACCAATATTGAGAAAATCACTAAAGCTATATTTGAATTTTATACACAATAGGAGTTTTACTGGACCAATATGAACCAAAATCAAATACATGAACAACTTTTAGTAGAGATTTTAAACACTAAATTTCATAAAAATTTGTTCTGTAGTTTGAGGGGTGAAGCATGTGGGTGGATGGACAGACACAATAGCAACATTATGCAATTTAATGCACTTTATGTGAAGAAACTAGCTATGAAAGGGTTAACCTTGTTGCTTATTTAAGCTGTCCTCTTGTTGAATCTGGTATCTGGGGTAGTAGTTTGCAGCAGGCTTCAGCTGTTTCTTCCCATTCTCTTTTCATTTCAGCATCCATAATCATCTCTTATTCTATATGATATAACAATTTCAGCAGTTGAATCCACAAACCAACCTGGCAAATGTTTAGTGCTGAGACTTTTGTAAAATCCCTAAGCAGGTTCTGATGAACAGCATGTATTAAAATTATAATTGTCATTTATACAGTGTTATCGTGTGACAAGGAATACTTATACATAGTTGTGTATAAAATATGCATATTTGTTTCTGCAGTTTAAGTACACATCTACACTAAAGAGATGGATTTATTTGTGTGCCTACATCCGTTTCCGTGCAATATTTTTACAAGAAGATAACAATTTAATAGGATTTAAGGTTCTCATAGTGGCAAAAAAAAAGGTAACTGTCTTCTGGGATTTAGCTACCTCCATCATCAGGGTGATTGCCCTGAAGAAGGAGGCAGCAAGGATCTCTGAAACGTTAGTTAATTCCTACCAGACTACATGGTTGTAATACCATTTTTAGATAAAGACTTGGACATCTCTTTAAAGATTAATGGACAAAATGAACACTGATGCTGAAACAGGCCACTCTTGAATCCCTGAACTTCATGATGGACTATAATGATCACATTGCTGGAGCTTATTCCAAAGAAACATTCATTCAGTTCAACTTAATACTGCTGGCTTTATTTCTACTTTAGAAATATTCTAATCTCTAACTACTGAGATGCAAACACAGTTTATGCACATTAAAGATTCGCTGATCACTCTATGTAGTTAACACTAACAACAGAATTATGCAAGATACAAACTAGTACCAATTGTAGAATGGCCTATTATATAAATTGACTTTGAATGCATTGAGACATATATTAATGGAGTCAGATTCTTCATAAATAATCTACTTAGAACGAGTTACATGTTAGCACATTTATATTTTAATTACACTGTACAAAATTCTTTGATTGTCTAGTCACTGTAGTCAGTGTACCTGACAGAATTATATTTTTGACATTTCATGTTCAGAATATGATATACCCTTTCTGCTGCAGTCTTGCACAAAAAAGTATGTAAAATTATGAAACATTCTGACAGATTATAGTAGGTTGTGCATGAATTTTTATGAGTTAAGCATGTAGCAGTATCTTACATGAATTTTGTGGACTTGCAGACAAAAAATGCCCTAGTTGTGAAAAAAATTAACTACTTTTCAAGAATGTTTTGCCTTCAAGTGCTTGAACACCACTAATGCCGCTGGAGCTGACTTTGAATTTGTTCAGTCCAACTTGTATCTCACAACCCATTTCTGTTATCCTCTGATTTCCTTTCCACTCTTCCAAGTTCTGCTTTTTAATAGGTTTTCACACCTTGTTGCAGTATAAATTTTTTTCCACATACAAGATATATGTGCAACCCAGTGCACTGTTATTAACAAGAAAATGATATTCCATTTTGATATTGTTATTAGCTGTTTAATAGATTAAAGTAGTAAATTGCTTGCAGGGAGAATGAACAAACTGGGCTGAATTATGACAGATCAGATTCTTAATTTCTGTTAAAATGAGATATGGAACTATAATTGCTGGTATGTATGTCCATAAATCTCATATTAGTTTTTATTTTTATTATAATGGTCTCAAGTTGAGTGTAATGGCACTCACACCAGTGAAATAAAGGAGGAGAAATATTTAAGAATACTAATGTATGATAACTGCTAGTAATATTGGCATTTACGTCATAATTTTATTTAATTTTATGAGAGTTGAGGTTTTTAAAGCAGTTAAAATGCAGTTTGTGTGTCCTTTGGGTTGTAAAGTCATGTAGTTTTATAGTGATTACAACATTTTAAAGGGCTGGGTTGTAAAGTCATGTAATTTTATAGTGATTACAACATTTTAAAGGAACATGTTACTGTCTCACATGTGCACCACCATTTATGACAGATTTTGAAGCATTTCAAAAATAAAATAATTATTAAACTGAAAAAGTTAGACCTCTTCTGATTGAGCACATTTTAGGATTTTAATGTAACCTTTATTTAAATAACACCTTTGGTGTAAAAGATGAATGATGTTTTTAGTAGACATTCTGTACCTTACACAATGGCAAATGCAGTAATTAATTTATTTACAATTCAGAGTCTTTGAAAGTCATTAGTTCCATTAGTCTCTGTATTTCATATTACACACTTCATGGTTTGAAGCGGAGGAATGAAAGTTACATAAATGACAACTGGTTGGAGTTATGTTTTGGGTTAAGACTAAGCAGGGCAAATGTACAACTACAGTTATGGACTAGACCACTTTGGTGTTAAAGATATTGTCTCTGAACATTTCCCAGACAAATCATTATTTAAAAAGTGGTCAGCTCTCCTGCTTCATAGTCAGGAGGTCCTGGGTTCAAATCTCTGCAGAGGCAGGCTATCCTGACTGAAATTTATTGTTGTTCTCCTCAGTCTCTAGGCAAATACTGAGATAGTACCCTGAATTAGGCTAGATCCACTTTTTTAATTATCCTACCATTCATCACTATGTGTTTCTAGTTATTGACAGCATTGTTAAATAAACCACACATGAAACATTGCCATGTTACCCTGTTTGTTTTATAATTTTCTTTTTTGCACTTCTGTTACCTCTGTTTGTCAGGGTGAATGTCTGTAGTTATTAGCCCATAGGAGGGGGTAGAAGAAAGGGTCACAGGGAACAGTTATGGTTTGTTTGAAGATTCTAGCAATGTGTTCATATGGATGGACCTTGGAAAACCAAAAAATAGCAGGTGGGATATTTAATGTCATCCCTATCCAAAGCCAGGTAAACTGCCATTTATAACTCACTAGTCAACAGTTTTCTGAATGTGTAAGACATTGCATGAAGTAAAAATGTCATGTGATTTAATGTTACCAAAACTGAAGAAAGATAATCAGTCATGCTTAGTAAAAAGTTATGTAATTGGCAGAGACATTTAATGTTTGTATTCTGAGATTTTCAGCGATCATATGGCTTTGTTTATAGCTTGAGCTTATATTTCAGAGATACAGTTTAGTGACCTGAGAATCTGGTTTATATTAAAATTCGGGAGATTCCTCAGAAATTTGAAACCAATGTGCTACAATGTGAGTCCAGGACTGCCATAACTTGCGATTAAAATTGGTTTCTACACATTTAACAGCAGTTCAAGAATTAAGAACTTGTTAAACTCTGGTTTGTCATCTCATTAGCCCATAATGCTTTTTCTTTGTTAAAAATATTGCTGCCTTGATATTTCTTGTAACATGCTGCACTTTTCAAGAATAGTGATATTTAATTTTAATATTTTTTCTTGTAATGCTCATCATTTAATAGGCCTGCATATTTATAAGAATGCTGTTAATCCATTAAGTGTAGCTATGAACTCTGTTGCACAGTATAAAAGGGTAAAAAATGAAAAGGATGAATAAATATAAAGAATAATATGTATATAGTTTATGCTTGCATGTGCAGGCCAAGATGTAAGATATTGAAATATATTTTAATGTCATTGCATTGGGAAGGATGAGAAACACTGCTTTAGCATATGGCATTTACAACTCAAGTATGAGAGAACATTATATCACTATGTCATGTGGCAGTTAAATGTGAAATGAACCTAACTTCAATGCACTAATTTAACATGCTTCTAAAGGTATATGACAATAGTATTACTGTTCTTTTTATTACTGTCCAGTGTCTGGATAAAGTATACATGCTATTTGAGAGGCTGACAGTGTCCTGTCTTCATATAAGATGAAAGGATACATTCTTTGTGGGTTCCTGCTAGACAGACTTTACTATTACAATGAATACTCTTTCTGTTCACCTGCAGATAGAAAATTGAAACCTCTTTTTGATCTTACACAGTGGACAGTTTCCACAGAAAATACATTACAACACTAATTTAATGCCTGTGATCCATACTTTGGATTCACATGGTCTTTTTACCCATCCATCCCATTCATTTTGAATTTTACTTCAAGCACAGAGCTTTATAGTTCTGAAATGACAAGTTATTGAAAATTATGTATGTGCTCAAAATAAATTTAATATATATTTTTTGTAGTTAAGTAAATGTGTCTCTGAACTATGTTTATTTTACTTATGGAAGTTCAGTCCATACAGGGTCCAGATAACAATTTTGACACACAAAACCATCAAGTTAAAAAAAAATTGAATTGCCTCTAATGTAACAGTTAAAAATAATGGAAATAGGCAACTGACAAATGATACGCTTAGAAGTTTGGATTATATCAATTATTATTTTGTAAGTGAAGAGTTAAATGTACAAAATAATGCAGTATTTATCAATGCCTATTCCTATAGACTGTAACTCCATTACAGCAAAGAATATCATGTTCTTGTGGTGTAAAAAGAAATATGACTTATATAAGTAGTGTACTGTTTTTGCTGCATCAAAAGCATGTACCATATAGACTTATCCCAGCTGTTTATAAACTCAGATTTTTATGAAGCTTCTAGTAGACAATCACCGCTTTAATGTTAGTCTTAAAATATACCATCATACTTGACAAAAATGAATTGTCATATATATATATATCATGCACGTATAAAGCTATTTATAACCCCAATCACAGAATGTAGGAAATTTATATATACTTCATGAACATTTTACATGTAATTTGACTTGTTACACATCAAGAGAAATGTTGTGTTAGGTGGTGAACAGATACAAATACAGATGCAGTATTGTGAGGAAGTTTTAAGTGTTATTCCAAGTGTTGTAGACATGTTAGGTTCAATGGAATATTTGTAATGTATAATGTCAAATACTGTTGCAGTTATTAAGAGTAAAGGGCATATACATAAAAATTAATTGGTATAATATTTAAGATTTTCATAGTTATCACTGTTCATTGTGTCCTCTTCTGTGTATATCATGGTCTAAAGGAATAAAAATATAACTCTGGAGAAGGAAGTATTTCTTGATATGGTGATATACCCAGCAGGTGATGCAATAAATAAACTAGTATGTAGATAAGATGAATGCCTTTCTGTATCAGTAATAAAGTCAATGAAAGCCATATTGCTTCCTCAATAATTTGAATTTGATATGTACATGCAAATTGTTGTCTTTGTATGTTTTAGTGTACATTATAATGACAGGAATGTTTATTTTAGGGGAAATGAGACTGAAAATATGTACTTCACTTTAAAACACACACATTTCTTGGTATATCCTATTCCATTTGTTTAGTTAAATATTCACCAATAAGAATATTTCAAATATGTTATAGAACTTACTGAAGTATATAATTTGCCTTT